GGGGGGGGGGGGGGGGGGGGGGGGGGGGGGGGGGGGGGGGTGCAGAAGAGCGGGGCTCAATAGGAGAAATAGAGGTAAAACCTTTAAAATCCTTCTCCGACCATCGGGATTAAGGGATTTTATCCTTATTTCGTATGGAGCATCCTTGGGTAACGGTGACTCAATTTTGTATAATAGGTGGGTATGAACCCCGTAGGGGCATAGGGGTGGGGCTCTGTTTGAAGTTTGTTCTCTATATCTCAAGTACTGGATGGATCTTTCTGAAATTTCACATGTACTTACAGCACCTACCATAGAGTGCTATATCTTTACTTCATACCAATTACTTTAATTATATTCAGGTGAGCGATACATGCCCTCTGGGCCTCTTGTTGAAAATTATGATATAAAACTTTAGTAAAAGTGCTACACAATCTTTATTCAGTTTCTGCAGAGAATCATGGTATGCTTCTTTTTCTTATGGTAAGATCCATAAAATATCCACTTCATGATATATTATATTTGTTCAATAATACTAAAAAGCACAGGATACACAATATGACTATCTAATATTTTACTAGATCGTTTACACATTAAATCTATTTCACTAGGTAGTTTACACATTAAATCTATTTCACTAGGTAGTTTACACATTAAATCTATTTCACTAGGTAGTTTACACATTAAATCTATTTCACTAGGTAGTTTACACATTAAATCTATTTCACTAGGTAGTTTACACATTAAATCTATTTCACTAGGTAGTTTACACATTAAATCTATTTCACTAGGTAGTTTACACATTAAATCTATTTCACTAGGTAGTTTACACATTAAATCTATTTCACTAGGTAGTTTACACATTAAATCTATTTCACTAGGTAGTTTACACATTAAATCTATTTCACTAGGTAGTTTACACATTAAATCTATTTCACTAGGTAGTTTACACATTAAATCTATTTCACTAGGTAGTTTACACATTAAATCTATTTCACTAGGTAGTTTACACATTAAATCTATTTCACTAGGTAGTTTACACATTAAATCTATTTCACTAGGTAGTTTACACATTAAATCTATTTCACTAGGTAGTTTACACATTAAATCTATTTCACTAGGTAGTTTACACATTAAATCTATTTCACTAGGTAGTTTACACATTAAATCTATTTCACTAGGTAGTTTACACATTAAATCTATTTCACTAGGTAGTTTACACATTAAATCTATTTCACTAGGTAGTTTACACATTAAATCTATTTCACTAGGTAGTTTACACATTAAATCTATTTCACTAGGTAGTTTACACATTAAATCTATTTCACTAGGTAGTTTACACATTAAATCTATTTCACTAGGTAGTTTACACATTAAATCTATTTCACTAGGTAGTTTACACATTAAATCTATTTCACTAGGTAGTTTACACATTAAATCTATTTCACTAGGTAGTTTACACATTAAATCTATTTCACTAGGTAGTTTACACATTAAATCTATTTCACTAGGTAGTTTACACATTAAATCTATTTCACTAGGTAGTTTACACATTAAATCTATTTCACTAGGTAGTTTACACATTAAATCTATTTCACTAGGTAGTTTACACATTAAATCTATTTCACTAGGTAGTTTACACATTAAATCTATTTCACTAGGTAGTTTACACATTAAATCTATTTCACTAGGTAGTTTACACATTAAATCTATTTCACTAGGTAGTTTACACATTAAATCTATTTCACTAGGTAGTTTACACATTAAATCTATTTCACTAGGTAGTTTACACATTAAATCTATTTCACTAGGTAGTTTACACATTAAATCTATTTCACTAGGTAGTTTACACATTAAATCTATTTCACTAGATCGTTTACACATTAAATCTATTTCACTAGGTAGTTTACACATTAAATCTATCTCACTAGGTAGTTTACACATTAAATCTATCTCAAGGATATACTCAATCATACCTTTTATAATATATATATATGTCCGTGCATTATTTAGATCCATTTAACATGAGGTTCAGGTTAAAATGATCAAGATCTTAAACTTTTTTCAATATGTGTGATGTTCCGTAAAGATTTTATTATGCATCCTAGAAATTCCAGGGTTTACGCCCACCGACGTTCTCTGTAATGTCGAGGATGGTTATATATAAACGACATTCAAATACAGTGGTGGATGTTTTCCTTTTCATGACAAGACAAATTATATAAATCATTGTTTAAGTTAGTTGTATGAATTGTTTGCTGACCACTTACCGTGAATCCATTATAATGAAAAGTGTATGTAATTCCTGTTTTAAACCACATTAGTTTACGTTGGTTTTATCATTAGTGGACGATAATACTTTCATTGAAGGCTAAATTATCTAAATGTTTAGATAAAGAAGCTGTTTAAGTAGTTATCAACTCTGCGAGGGCATTAGAAATANCAGTGTAGAGAATACATATATACATTACAGTGTAGAGAATACATATATACATTACAGTGTAGAGAATACATATATACATTACAGTGTAGAGAATACATATATACATTACAGTGTAGAGAATACATATATACATTACAGTGTAGAGAATACATATATACATTACAGTGTAGAGAATACATATATACATTACAGTGTAGAGAATACATATATACATTACAGTGTAGAGAATACATATATACATTACAGTGTAGAGAATACATATATACATTACAGTGTAGAGAATACATATATACATTACAGTGTAGAGAATACATATATACATTACAGTGTAGAGAATACATATATACATTACAGTGTAGAGAATACATATATACATTACAGTGTAGAGAATACATATATACATTACAGTGTAGAGAATACATATATACATTACAGTGTAGAGAATACATATATACATTACAGTGTAGAGAATACATATATACATTACAGTGTAGAGAATACATATATACATTACAGTGTAGAGAATACATATATACATTACAGTGTAGAGAATACATATATACATTACAGTGTAGAGAATACATATATACATTACAGTGTAGAGAATACATATATACATTACAGTGTAGAGAATACATATATACATTACAGTGTAGAGAATACATATATACATTACAGTGTAGAGAATACATATATACATTACAGTGTAGAGAATACATATATACATTACAGTGTAGAGAATACATATATACATTACAGTGTAGAGAATACATATATACATTACAGTGTAGAGAATACATATATACATTACAGTGTAGAGAATACATATATACATTACAGTGTAGAGAATACATATATACATTACAGTGTAGAGAATACATATATACATTACAGTGTAGAGAATACATATATACATTACAGTGTAGAGAATACATATATACATTACAGTGTAGAGAATACATATATACATTACAGTGTAGAGAATACATATATACATTACAGTGTAGAGAATACATATATACATTACAGTGTAGAGAATACATATATACATTACAGTGTAGAGAATACATATATACATTACAGTGTAGAGAATACATATATACATTACAGTGTAGAGAATACATATATACATTACAGTGTAGAGAATACATATATACATTACAGTGTAGAGAATACATATATACATTACAGTGTAGAGAATACATATATACATTACAGTGTAGAGAATACATATATACATTACAGTGTAGAGAATACATATATACATTACAGTGTAGAGAATACATATATACATTACAGTGTAGAGAATACATATATACATTACAGTGTAGAGAATACATATATACATTACAGTGTAGAGAATACATATATACATTACAGTGTAGAGAATACATATATACATTACAGTGTAGAGAATACATATATACATTACAGTGTAGAGAATACATATATACATTACAGTGTAGAGAATACATATATACATTACAGTGTAGAGAATACATATATACATTACAGTGTAGAGAATACATATATACATTACAGTGTAGAGAATACATATATACATTACAGTGTAGAGAATACATATATACATTACAGTGTAGAGAATACATATATACATTACAGTGTAGAGAATACATATATACATTACAGTGTAGAGAATACATATATACATTACAGTGTAGAGAATACATATATACATTACAGTGTAGAGAATACATATATACATTACAGTGTAGAGAATACATATATACATTACAGTGTAGAGAATACATATATACATTACAGTGTAGAGAATACATATATACATTACAGTGTAGAGAATACATATATACATTACAGTGTAGAGAATACATATATACATTACAGTGTAGAGAATACATATATACATTACAGTGTAGAGAATACA